GGGTTAACACCCCAAAAGTTATAAAAGTAACATCAAAGATTACTGATCACAGATCACCATTACAAATATAATAATAATGAAAAAGTTTGAAATATTCTGAGAATTACTAATATGTGACATAGAGACATGAAGTGAGGAAATGCTGTTGGATAATGGTGCTGATAGACTTGTTATAAGCAGGGTTGTCACAAACCTTCAATTTGTAAAAACTGTGTATCTGTGAAGCACAATGAAGCAAAGCACAGTTAAAGGAGGTATGCCTGTAGTTATCTGGTTGTTAATACTTTCTGATTTTAATATGCTAATGCCATTAATGTTCATAAAGAGCTTTGAAAATACATAGAGGAAAAGAGTCTACTAAAAATGATATTTTTAAATTCTAGGAATAATGACTTGAATGAAAAAGACAAAATAAACTTCCACAAATAAATGTATATACACCATAAAGTTATTAGTCCTCACTTTTGATCCCAATAGGAATACCATGCTTCTTTTCTCTTGTAGAAATATAGAAAAACATACAAGCAAGTTTTAAGGAAAACTCTTAAACTCTGAGTAATAATTGGGGGGAGTAACCCTTCCAGGCATATAAAACCGATCTTATGTGCATTTCTATGTCTAGTAGCTAGACATTGCCTCACCCGCAATGAACACACATTTTGAATGGGAAAACATGTTTACCTATATGATCTCTCCCTCTATGACTTAAAATCCATGAGGTGGGAACTCTTCTTGACTTTCGTAACCTCAGAACTTAACAGAGTGGATGTATAATAATTGTTCTGTTAAATGGGTCATTTATAAAGATGGAACATTTTTATGAAATACTCATAAGAATTAGACTTCACAGCAGAAGAAAATAAAGGAAAATAAAGTGATATAAATAGAAAATATTATGACATAAGAAAACTATTTTCATGTCAAATTACAGTCAAAAAGCTAATTTCTTTTATATATAAAGGGTTAGTAAGATAAATAAGCAAAAAACCAGTATCAAACAAAAAATAAGCAAAGGATATGAGAAGACAATTTACAGGAAAAGAAATATGAGTAGGTCTTAAATATATAAAAAGAAGCTAAGTATCACTCTTAGGAGGAATACATATTGAAACCATATGGAGAAAACACAAAATATCACAAATCCACAATCTAACCTCATGCTCAAGGAACTAGAAAAAGAACAAATGAAACCTAAAGATATCAGAAGGAAGGAAATATTCAAGGTTAGAGCAGAGATAAATGAAATAGAGAATAGAAAAATAAATTAATGAAACAAAAATTAGATTCTTTGAAAAGATCAATAAAATTGACAAATCTATAGCTAGACAGGCTAAGAAAAAAAGACTCAAATTACTAAAATAAGAAATGAAAATGGGGACATTACTGATTCATAAAAAGGATTATGAGAGTAGTATGATCAATTAGCTATACACCAACAAATTGATATACTAGATGAAATGGACAAATTCATTGAAAAACAAAACCTACCAAGATTAAATCATGAAGATATAAAAAATCTGAATAGATCTAACTAGAAAGGAATTTGAAGCAGTAATGAAAAATCTCCTAACAAAGAAAATCCCTAGCCCAGGACCTGATGAATTTCACCAAACATTTAATAGGAACCAATACCAATAATTCTCAAAATTTCCAAAAACTGGAAAAAGAGAGAATGCTTCCTAACTCATCCTATGAGACCAGCATTATTCTGATACCAGAGTTAGACAGACATTACTAGAAAACTATAAACTAATATCCCTTATGAACATTGATGCAAAAATTCTCAAAATACTAGCAAGCTGAATTCAGTAGTATATTAAAAGGATTATTAACTTCATGACAAAGTGAGATTTACTCCTGGAATGAAAGGATGGTTCAACATACAAAAATCAATGCAATACACCACATTAACAGAATGAAGGGGAAAAAAAAAAAGACCTCAACTGATGCCTAAAAAGCATGTGGTAAAATTCAGCACCTTTCATGGTAAGAACACTCAAAAAAATTAGGACTAGCAAGTAACTACCTCAACATTATAAAAGCTATATAGGAAAAATGCACAGCTATATCATAATGGTGAAAGACCAAAAACTTTTCCTAAGATCAGAATAAGACAAGGATTCCCACTTCCATCACTTCTACTCAACAGATTACTGAAAGTTCTAACCAGAACAAATAGGCAAGAAAAAGAAAAAAAAGGCATACAAATTGGAACAGAAGATGTAAAACTCTCTTCACAAATTATGTAATCTTTCATGTAGAAAACCCTCAAGATTCTACAAAAATCTCTTATGGCTAATGAATGAATTCTGTAAAGTATCAGGATACAAAGTCAACACACAAAAAATAGTTGCAATTCTACAGAGTAAAAAGGAACAATCTGAAAATGAAATTATGAAAACAACTCCATTTACGATACCACCAAAAAGAATAAAATATTTTGGAATTAACTGAGGAGGTAAAAGACTTCTACAATGAAAACTATAAAACAATGCTGAAAGAAACTGAAGAAGGCACAAATAAATGGAAACACATCCTATGTTCACAGACTGGAAAACTTAATATTGTTAAGATGTCAAGACTTCCCAAAGAAATCTACAGATTCAATGCAATCCTTATCAAAACCTCAATTACATTTTTGTAGAAATAAAAAAAAACCTGTAATTCATATGGAATCTCAAGGAACCATGAAAAGCCAAAACAATCTTGAAAAAGAACAACAAATCTGGAAGACTCACACTTCCTTATTTTTTAATTTACTACAAAGCTACAGTAACTAAAACAATGTGGTATTGGCAGAAAGATAGGCATATATAGACCTATGGAACAGAATAGAGAACCCAGAAATAAACTCTCATATATATGGTCAAATTATTTTTGACAAGGTGCCAAGACTATTCAATGGGGAAAAGACATTTTTTTCAACAAATAGTATATGGAAAACTAGATAATCCATATGCAAAATAATGAAGTTGGGCCCTTACCTAATAATACCTTATATAAAAATCAACTCAAAATGGATGAAAGAACTAAATATAGAACTAAAACTACAAAACTCTTAGAACAAAACACATGGCAAAAACTTCATGATATTGGATTTGGCAATGACTTCTTGGAAATGACACCAAATACACAGGCAACAAAACAAAAAGACAAATTGAACTTTATGAAAATAAAAAATATTTTGAGTGTGAAAAGACGATATCAACAGTAAAAAGGCAACAGAATGGGAAAAAAATGTTTTCAAATTATTTATCTGATAAGGGATTAACATCCAGAAAATATAGATAACTTCTAAAACTCAACAGAAACAACCCAGTTAAAAAATGGGCAAAGGACTTGAATATACCTTCTCCAAATAAGACATACAAATAGCTAATAAGCACATGAAACGATGCTGAACATCATTAATCATTAGGGAAAGGCAAATAAAATCTACAATGAGATACCACCTCATATCCATTAGGATGGCTACAATAAAAAAAAATTAATCAAAATAGTGTTAGAGACAATGTGGAGAAACTAGACCCCTTGTACACTGTTGGCAGGAATGCAAAATGGTACACCCAGTGGAAAACAGAATAGCAGTTTCTCAAAAAATTAAAAATACAATTACCATATGATACAGCAATTCCACTTTTGGGTATATGTGCAAAAGAACTGAAAGCAGGATCTCAAAGAGATACTTGTACGCCCAATTTCAAATAATATAAAAATGTTCACAGCAGCATTATTCACTCTAGCTGAAATGTTGCTTCCACAAGCCACGCAAGTGTCCATCAACAGATGAGTGAACAAGCAAAATGTGGTATACATATAATGTAGTATTATTCAGCTTCAAAAGGAAGTAAATTCTGACACAGGCTACAAACTGGACAAACCTTGAGGACATTATGTTAACTAAAATAAGCCAGTAACAAAAATACAAATACTGTATATTCCACTTAACTTGAGGTACTTAGAATAATCAAAGTCACAGAGATGGAAAGTAGAATGGTGGTTGTCAGGCACTAGGAAGAGAAGTAAGGGGTTACTGCCTCACCGGCATAAAGTTTCAGTTTTACAAGATGAAAAAAGCTATGTGTATGAATAGTCATAATGGCTGCACAGTATTATGAATGTATTTAACACCACCTAACCATACACTTAAAAATGGATAAGATGGTAAATTTTATATGTATTTTAACACAAAATTTTTTTTTAAAAAATATGGACATAACTCCCTCAACTCCACCCTTTATATGAACTTACTAGAAGGGCAAAAATCTCAAAGGTTGTTAACACACTCTGTTCAACATGGCTACAAATTGGGAGGTGGGAGATGGGAGAGTCTTATACATTGCTGGTAGGAGCTAAAGAGTAGAACAGACTCTCCTGGATAGCAATTTGACAGTATCAGTAAAAATTACCAACTCATACAATATCTAGCAATTTCGCTTCTGATAATTTAACTTATAAAAATACGTATGAGCAAAACAGTATTTATAAAAGGATATTCTTCACAATATTATTCACAACAGTCCCCAACTCAAAACAATCCAAACTTTGACAAGTAGGGAGATGCTGAATAAATTATGCTGTCTCCATAAAATGGCAACTCAATCAGCTGTAAAAGCAAAGGTACGCTGTCTGTGTAATGATACGGAACTAATCAAAGCATTTTATATAATATAGGAAAAAAGCAAGGTGCTGTATAATGTATATATTTTGCTACTTTTTTTGTAAAGGTATGGGAATGAAATGAAATATATTTATATCTGCTAGTGATATACATCAACTCTGGAAGGATACAGTAGAAACTGATGTGTACACCTGTGTGAAGAGGGGCGTGTGAATTGGACAGATGAAAGACAGTACTTTGACATCTTTTACTATATAAATATAAAAAATGTGAACAGATTATTAATTCAAAAAACACCTGATTTTACAAGCTAAGTATATAATTAACAAATGCTAGAGAATTAACAAACTACAGAATCCTCTATAATCTATAATCTTACCTGTAACCTAGCCACATAAGAATCCTCACAAGTTACATAATGCCCTAACATGGCATGTTGTGCCCGTAATTCATTATCTCTTATCCTCTCATGTAGGTGGGTAATTTGTTGCTTCTGCCTGCAAAACATAAAGTGAGGTCACATTATAAAGGATATATTTTTCTGAGAGATAGTTAAAAGCAGAACTTTTAAAATATAAAAGTATTCTAATAATTTGTCATTAAAGTTTAAAAGTATTGATAATTAAACTAAGTTAAAACTTATGATAGGGAATTTTTTAAAACTACATTACCATGACATATATTGGATATAGAAGAGTTTATACTGTAAAGTACTTCAGACATTTAATAGAATGTAATCTTTTGCAGAATAGTCTTCTGAGATTCTAACAAAGATGTGCTTTGCTTGTTGTCTTCTTAATTACCTAACATAATAAATACGTCCTCAGTCTACAATGCCTTCACCTTAAAATCATTATTTTCATTCATCCACTAATACCAACTGAAACTCTTGAGAATCTCATTGTCAGTGGTTAAATATTATTTTTATAAGTATCATCTAGCCCAATTATTGTTCTATGCCTATAACTTCTTTATTATATCCCAAGTTGCATGCTCTATACCTAACATCACCAATGATGGAAAATTCACTTGGTGACAGCTCTGCATCTTTGGATAGCTCTGACATTCCATTTTAAATAACCTCATGTTGGACAGACATTGAAAGTCAAATCTTTCCTCAGCAGCTTATAGCTTACTTTAATCAAGTAATTTAACTTTTGTGAATATGTAGCCTCATTTACTTGAAAACTGTTATGTACCCGATGTCATGCTAAGAGCTTTATATATGTACTACTGCTAATATTCAAAAATTTAATAACAACTCTTATAATAAGGTTATGGGGGAAAGAGCTTTAAAGGAAAAATAACGATACATGTGAGTCAACAAATGGCTTGATGTTTTCCAAGTACTTACAAAAGTAATTTTGGAGCAAGTCTGGTTATATGTTTCAGACTGTATCAGAGTATTATATTCAGACCAATGATAATTTATTTTTTAGATATGCTACCCTTTAAGAAAATCCACACAGAAAACATCAAATAGGAAATAGGTAAGTTAGGAGGGATTAGTCATATGACACTACTCAAATAATTTAAAGCTTTACAAAGAAAACTGAATTTCCTCTCCAGCCAAGAAGGAATAACAGGAACTGGTTTTGCCTGATAAAATTATGAGATAAAACAAAATACAAGAAACAAAGACTCAAGACACTGAACATCAGGCAATTAGGAAGAATGATTTCTGGAAGATGGGCAACAAACAAGGTAAGTTCTGTGACTGCCAGAGCTTACTGCTTTAGGCCCCAGCACAGGGAAAAGTGGCCTTTCTGAGTTGAAAAAACAAAACTGGGAATCTCGAGAAAACAAAACAGGTTCACAGTACAGTCACCCTTGAGTTTCAGTTGAGTACTAATTAATGAGTACATGAAGAAACTACTTGAAGTATGGTTGTGTGGTGGGGTAACGGTATGTATGGGAGTATGTGAACTAAAAATATTAGAAGGAATGGTGTCTGAGGCTCACATGGAGCCTGGAATTTTGCCTGTTCCCAAATGCCAGAGTGGAAAACTTCATAATTCACAGAGCATCAGGTAGCAGCAATTTTTAGCGGAGCACAATTTTGACCCCAGAACAAAGCTCAAGAATGCAAAAATATGTAGTATTCAAAAAAATGTTAAAAATCAAAATACCTGGCACCTGATCAAAAATTAAAAGGAATGCAAAGAAGCAGAAAACTATGACTCATAATAAAGAGAAAAAAACAATCAACTGCAAGTGAACCAGAACTGACACACGATAGAATAAATAGACAAGGACATTAAATCAGTTATTGTAACTGTTTTCTTAAGTTCAAGAAACTATAAGAAAGATGGAATATGTTAAGTAGAAACATACAAAACATAAATATTATCCTGAATGGGATTAAAGGCAGATTAGAATTTGCAGAAGATTAGTGAATTTGAAGGCACAGCCACAGAAACTCTCCAGAAAGAAACAAGAGTTAAAAAACAAATGAGAAAAACCTCAAAATATCAGTGAATTGTTAAATTTCTTTAAGTGGCCAAACATATGAGTAATTAAATCCTTAAAGGGGGTGGAGGCAAGAAAAACTACTTGTAGAAAAATGGTCAAAATTTTTCTAAATGTGATGAGAACTACATGCCCACAGATCAAAGAAGACCAGAGAACCTAAGCACAACTAACAAGAAAACTAAATAAAAAAACATCTTAATCAAATGGCTTAAAATCAGTGATAAAGAGAATTATCTTAAAAGTAGTCAGACGAAAAAAAATAAATTCATTCTTAGACACAAAGATAGAGTACAGATTTCTCATCTGAATGCAAACAAAAAGTGAAGTACTTCAAAGTATTACATGAAAGTATTAAAATTAAAAAGCTACCAAACTGCCGAATTTTTTATCCAAGGTTAATTAAAAACATAAAGAAAAACTATCAACCTAGAATACTTTATCAAAGGAAAACATCAAAGGCAGAGGAGAAACTTAAAAACGATTCATCACCAGCAGAATTCAACTACAAGAAATGATAAAGGAAAAAAACATTCAAGCAAAAGGAAGGTAATACAGATGAAAACCTATACCTACACAAAGAAGGAAGAGCACAAGAAATGATGACTACATGGGCAACACATAAGATATTTTTCTTATTATTTAAATCCCTGTATAAGATAATAGACTGTGTAAAGAAAAAGTAATAATGTAAAAGCTCATAGACTAGAAGAGAGAAACACATAAGTATATTTTTATGATTCTTAGGTTATACATGAAGCAATATAGTAGTATAGTATTGCTTAAAAGTAGACAGGTTCCTACATTTTAAGGTGTATGTTACTAAAAGTAACCACTATCATAACTCAACAAAGAATTACAGAATCAGCTAACAAAGGAGATATAGGAAATTGTAAAAAATACTACTAATTCAAGAGAAGGCAAAGGGAAGAAAAGAACAGATGGGACAATTAGAAAACAAATAGCAAAATGTAGATTTAAACTGAACTGTTATCCATAATCACAAAATGCAAAGAGTCTAGTACTCCCAATTAAAAGGCAGACATAGTCAGAATGCAGAGTAAGACCCAACTACAGTGACATAGTTTGGCAAATCTTATTCCTAAAACCATATGGGTCTAGAAGACTTATGATTGCTGAATATTTAAATTTATATTTATATATAGACTATATATATAACATTTTAACATAAATATAATTAATTATTATATTAGTTTCAGGTATACAACATAATGATTCCATATGTGTATATACTGAGAAATGATCACTACAGTAAATCTAGTTAACATCTGATTATATTTCTTTAATGTTATTGTTTGTGTAAGTTTTCCATTTTTGAAATAATTTTGGTATTAAAAATTATTCATTTTATTCTGTTTTCAGATTTATTGATGTAAGTTTATAATGATTAAAAAATCTCTATTATATCAGATTTTATTCCTATTTTAATTTGAGCCTTTCTCCCTTTTGCCTGTAGTAGAACTTTATCCATTTATTACTGCTCTTACTTTTATTATTTCCTTTGTTCTATTTTATGTTTACTATTCTTTTACTAGCTTTCTTGAGTTAAAGATTTAAATCACCGTTCTTTTCTCCCTTTCCTTCCTCTTCCCTCTCTTTCTTAATAGAGAAGATGAAAAACGATGATGTAGTCTGACATGTGTGTGTGATACACACACACACACAAGAATAAATATATGAAGAGATTTTCCAAAACTGATGAAAGACATCAGAATGGAATCAAAAGTGTTTCAATGCCCAAGATACTAAAGAAAGTATAAAGAAAACCACACCTAGGTACATTATAGTAAAACTGCTGCAAACAAAGGAAAATGTAAAATCAGCAGAACACTAAAGAGTGTAGCAATAAATATACAGATGACTTACAGAGAAACCAATCACAATGGAATAGTACCTTGAGAGTGCTGAAAGAAAATAACTGCCAATCTGGAATTCCATATCAAGAAAATATCCTTTAAAAACAAATGTTTACATAACATTCAATTCATAATAAAAAGGCAGAAACAACCTTAAGGTCCACATATTGATGAATGGATAAAGAAAATGTTATATACACATATAAATGACTATTATTCAGTCTTAAAATTAAAACAGAAGGAAATCTTGTTATATGCTACAAGATGAATGAACCTTGAGGACATTACAGTAGGAGCAAAAAACCAGTCACTAAAAGGCATAAATAGTGCATGATTCTACTTATACAAAAAATTAATGGGGTTTAGGACATACTACCCCAAAACATGGCCCACTGGCATACTGAAATTTTTACACTGAAGGAGTTTGAGAAAACAGCAGAAGCAAGAATGTTACTCTGACTCTTTCTCCTCCCCCTTCTTCCCTGAAATAGTTCATAAAAACCCTCATGTGGGCGGGTGCCCTCCCTACACACAGAGGAAAGGAACATACTTATCTCTGAAGACAAAAGAACACAAAGAAGAATCCTAACAAACAAACCTTGCTAAATTCCCCCCCCCCCCACCACCAGTTTACTACAATTATACTCCTTAACCCATCATATTCCTCCATGACCTTCACCAAACTTATCATAAAATACTCAGGTCTAACTGTTACTCTGGGTCTTTATTTCCTTATGAAGGCTTCTGTGTTACATAAAACTTGTATTAAATTTGCAGCTTTTCTCTTGTTTATCTTTGTAAGTTTAATTTCCAGATCCAGTAAAGGACCAAAATGGGTCGAAGAAAAGTTTTTCCTCTTCTACAGTATCCAAAGCAGTCAAGCTTATAGAAGAGGAAAGTAGTATGGTGGTTTCCATGTGCTGGGGTGAGGGAGAAATGGGGACTTGCTGTTGAATTGAGTACAGAGTTTGAATTAGAAAAAGAAAAGGGATCTGTAAAAAATGTGCATAAAGTTAACAACACTGTACTGTACACTTAAAGATTTGTTGGAAGGACAGATTGCACATTATGTGATTTTTTTTTACCACAACAGAAAAAAAAAAACTGAGAGCTAGAGCTGCTTCTGGGTACCCATTAAGTCTCAGCCATTC